TCCTACCTTGGACTGAAATATTCTCGGACGATCTCAAATTTAGGACGGCGGGAGTGAAACGGTTTTCACCTCTTTGCAGTAGCAGATGCAGATCCCAGGGCTCGATCCCTAGACCTTACCCTACCCATGTACAGTACCTGTGTAGACCCCAAGAGTTGAACCTGTGACCTGTGTATTCGTAAGCAGTTGGTAGGCTGTCCTAGGTCCGTAGGTGGTAGGGGTTCGATTTGTAGGTCTGTCAAATAGGAAGCTTAGTGAAGTCTAGAAGTCTTAGCTGTAGTCTTCTAGAAGGTCGGCAAGTGGGCAAGTGGTCAAGTGGTGAGCCAAGTGGTGGACTAACTGCAGTACGATCGCAGTACGACCTTAGTAGGTCAGCAGTGAGTCCCCAAGCAGTCAGCGGTGCAGTCCAGTCAGTCCCAGTCCAGTCCAGCAAGTACCATGAGGGACTGTGTGCACCATGGGCAGATGGAACGGGGCAGACCAACGAGCTTCAGAAGTATAAATCAAGAGGCAGCGCCCAGCCATTCATTGATTCCTGCGTGAGCCATGCGGAAGCGCTGCCACAGCGACTTGTGCAAGGAGGTCTGCAGTGAGCCCGAAGGACGAAGTGGGCAAGAGAGAAGGGCGTAGCATAGCGATAGGATAGTAGCGGCTACTGCCGCCATAGCTGTAGTTGGAGTTCAGTGTGCAAGTGTGTGTAAGTCCAAAGTAACGCGTGTGGGATATCCAGGGTGATCCGGTGTATGCGAACAGAGAGTTGTTTGGGCACTGAGTTGCCATAGCCATCGAAAGTGAACTTGTATCTGGACTGTGTTTCGGCGACCATATCTCTGAGTTCTGTGTGGGCGCTTGTCGCCAGCTTGCTGTGCGCCTGTTTGCATGCATGTGAGTGTGAAAGAAAGCGAGTCTGATTGCAGATGCAGCAATCAGAAAAAAATAATAATAATAAGAAAAAATTCTGGGCATTTTTTAGTGCAAGGAATATGAGCAAGAGCGATATACAGAAAACCAAGTTGTGAAATCACACAGATGTCCAAGTAGTCATGTGCGAGCAAAGAGCGCAAATGCACCGAGATTCCATCCAAAGAAGAGCAATACAATGAACTCACGAGGCAATGTCCAAGCCCTCAGGCCACACCAACACCGTATCCAATGTCGTTCCTACTCTGTCTGGCGCCCAGCGCCCAGCCTACACTACTCGTCTATCCTACTACACCAGCGTTCATGCAACAGGCTCACTTCGACCTTGAAGACCAATGTACATGGCGTCAACGCCAAAGCTGACCTCCCTCATGCACCAAGTATGTATCTCATCTCTACTTATCACCCCTGACTTCCCACAGTGTGCATTCTCAACACCCAAAGACCACCATCGCCATCCAGTCCTGCGCTCAGCAACCCGGCTATGGTTGCCGTGCGCCCACTGCCCAGCAGTGCACCTCACACCTCAGCGCCCGTGTGCGCGACCCAGCTGGCAGCTTCATGTCAAACACGAAGTTGCAACGCAGCAGCGCGGCCGCATTGCCTGCCCAGGCCAGAATGACCTGCCCGGCGATGCTCACTTTCCTATATGGAAAGTGTGCTCAGCCTCTGCTGCCTCTGGGCCTGGCTGGGTGAGCATCCAGTAGCTTCCAGTCGGGCCTCAATGGCTGCGTCCAGGCCCAGTTGCAGTTGCGGGCCTGGGCCCTTTACAGTTGGGCACGTCCAGGCAGTCCACAGACCTCCACATGTTCGTTGTGATCTCATTGGCTCACGGCCACTTTGTGCCGACAATGCTGCGAACTCATTGGTACGTGGCTGTTGTATGATGTGTCGGCCTCTGAAAGCACACACCCAGGGCCTTAACTGTACGGGGCCCTGGGCTCAACTGCCATTCGAGGCTGCAACTTCTGGAAAGAGCCTGGAGAGGCTCACGCTGCTCTGTAACCAACGGGCATGCTGCAACTGTCTGATACCCACATATGGAAAATGTCAAATCTTGGCCTCTTGTGAATATTCAGGCCTGCCTTCACTTAGGGCGGGCACAGGGCTTGCTGAGGGCCTCTGCCCAGAACATGTGCATGTGTTGCATACCGTAAAGGTGCAGACCAGAACAAGAACCGACCTGTCATACAAAGTACAAGATAGCGTAGCGGAAGATTTAAATACCAGTGATCCTAACAATCAATATTGCAATGCAGTCCCAACATACATCATCATCGTTCCATGGTGTGAAGGGGCCTGGCGCTCACACGGAAGAATGCGCCAGTCCCCACCATACACAGACGAAGAGGAGGGGGGTTTAGACGAAGAAGAGAGAAAGATGGGAATGTCAGCAACACCAAGTCTGCGATACTGGTCCCAAATAATCCCCGTCCAATGTCTGAATCCAAATGCCGAGTCTGGATCCAATGTCGTCAAGTCTCAAGTCACAACTCTCTCTCTCTGTCATAGTCCGCTGATACTGAGAAGTCAGGGAGTGAGAGGGTGAAGAAGAGATGGTGGACTTAGAAGAGGAAGAAGAACTCTCTCTCTCTCTCTCTCTCTCTCTCTCTCTCTCTCTCTCTCTCTCTCTCTCTCTCTCTCTCTC